TTCGACTCTTAACGGGCCAGATTCAAACCAATGTTCATACGCATCGATCGAATTAATCAAATACACAAGGTATATAAACACATAAAATTTACAAAAGCAACCATCTTCCATCGATATTGTAGATGGCAACTTACGCCGCAAAGATGTAAGCTGTGTTGTAGAGGCTAAAGATGGTACCCATCTTAAAGCCTCGTACTGAAGCAAGCACATGACTTATTGACACAGTTTATCAAAATTAAAAACGCTTTTATTTAATTTTAAATATCACTTAAAGAAAAAGTTTACTCAGCGTTCTAGGGTTATTTTCAGCTAATTTAGGTTATAATTACGCTACATAAAAAGTTTCATGGTTCAATCACCATTAGAAATATTATTAAAAAATGTTTTAAAGCTACTACGACTACAGTTTGACTACAACGACGGTGGCGCCACTCAAAGCGCACGATCTGATAAGTTGCGCAAAACCACTTTCCAGCCAAGGGCTACAGACCGAGGGCGTTTCTTATTTATTTATTTAAAAGCAAAAGGATTGTAATATCTTATAGACGACAGATAGTTTCAGTTATAATATGGATAAACTTGCCCTAAAATGAATATCGTTCGGTTAAATAGCATTTAGGTATAAATATAATTGCACTTTTGTGATTAACCCTTGGTCGGTAACGTGCAAAATAAATTGTCAAATACGCAACTTTTTCGGGGTGGCAGCACGGTCGCGGGTGTCATGGCGCCGTTCAAATTGCGTAGCGTTGATGTGTAATTAATTATAACAATTAAATTATGTATCTGGTAACAAATACGTGTGGGTATAGACGATTTGTTATACAGTAAGTACAGTTGTATGCAGTAAAATCCTAGAGGCTACTGTCCCTTTAAATTAGGTATCTGGTAACAAATACGTGTGGGTATAGACGATTTGTTATACAGTAAGTACAGTTGTATGCAGTAAAATCCTAGAGGCTACTGTCCCTTTAACAAATTACAAGCTATCAAAGAAAGTGTGTAAATGTAAAATGTGCATGATTGGAAAGCAAATAGTGCGTAGACTCATTAAATAAACTTTTTCGGCCTCCTACGGGCTGCAAATTAAGACTGAAAGATTAGTTATTGATGGTGTAGAATTAGTCCGAGCCGACACAGACTCCAGTAATGGGGTAAACCCGCAGATAAACCCACAGATCCGCAAATCCGCAGATAAAACCGCAGAGCTAGCCTCGGGATAAACCCGCAGATAAACCCGCAGATCCGCAAATCCGCAGATAAAACCGCAGAGCTTCGGGATAAACCCGCAGATAAACCCGCAGATCC